ACCAGATGATGATTGACTCACCATTCCTCGTCATTACAAGATTTATCGATGATATTTTCAGCGAAGATTGGGGTACAGTGGGGCTGTATATGCTGAAAGTTTCAGCTTGTTCTGCTGAGATTTCGCCAAATAACGAGCCTACTCTTTCAGTGATTCCTCAATCACCGATTATTTAAACCTTGATTTTTATATAAAAATGTGTCCCCTATAATCTTCTATCGATTACTGAAAACCGCAGGTCGCTATGACTTTTCGTTCGAAAGTTATAAGCTTTTTTTCCAGGTGTCTCGTTTTAAAATTCCGATAGTAAATCATTGTTCACCAATTGGTTAAAATTAATTTTTAATAAGAATAGTAATATCAATAAAAATGTATGACATTGGAGATAGTTGACATGAGATAAGTACTTTTGTCAAATATCAATGAACTTTGTTGATCGTTGAAAGTTTACTAAAGATTTTGCCTAGTAGCTTTTCATCTTGATAAATGAATATATGGAATAGAAATTTAATGATCAGAAAGAAACAATAATAAGTCAATGGAACTATTTTTCATAAACGAAATGTAAAGTGAATAATTTTAATTTAATTATTTTTATTTTAGTGAGATTGCTATCTGATACTCGAAATGTTAACAATGATTGTTTATTAGAAAACGTTTACAATCGTATGAAAAAGAAAATTCCTGATATGACAAATCCATTAATATCAACTGCAGTTCTTCTTGCTAATAGTTATAAATCGTTAGATGAAATTGACAAAGCATCAGATATTAGCATTCATTTACATAAATCAAATGCTAAGAAAAAGATCAGTCACTCATGGATTGCAGTCAATCGACAAATCTTTGTAAGTCAATAATTATAGTATTCATTCTCTATACAGATCATATGAAATGAACTTCATAGCAATTTCGAGCTCATGATCAATCTCGTTCTCGATCAATTGAAATCTTCGTTGAACTTGAGAAAATATCAAAGAAAGTTATTGAATATGATTATGAATACGATTCAAATTGGATCAGACAATCATTGAATTTAAATGGAATCGTCGCGTCAGTCCTTTGTGAACATAGTTAACACCTTGCATTTGCATGAAACTTAGTTAAGAACCCCAATGCATCACGAACTCAAATGACAAATTTATCTTTGTATTTGTGGTGATTGTCTTATGTGATCATGTCGATCCTTTTTTTTCATAGATCGTGCCACAAAAATAATAGCTGCTATTCGTC